GAAAATTCACTTCGATACATTTTAGCTGGCAGCTTTAAGCGTTAGTCATCTGAGGTTCGGCTTTAAGCGTCTCTGATCTAGGTCACAATGATATAATATAACATTTTCAGTTTTGTATAAATTTATTCATGTTGAATTGGTAATAACGCCTCCTTGTGTTGTTAAAAGGATACTGTTACAACAAAGAACGTGTAACATGTCTTTCTTTTCAACCAGCAAGATATATCTATTTCATTAATGAAATTAGGTATTTTGGTTTCTACAAATAATAAATACTAAGGGAAATTACACGATTGAGACTGTTGACTATAATACCTGTGACACAAAGTTGTCAATACAGACTAGAAAATGAATGTTTGTATCACGCCAGTGAAACATGGATACAGATTACTATTTCTGTGAGTGATGATGGAATTTTTTCTGACTAATAAGCTAGGCTATGTTTAGAAGTGCACCGGTTGGTTAGTCGAACCAGTAGCCCTATGTAACTGTTGAACATTCTACCACTGGACCACCCATACACTGTTTAAGAGTACCTTTTACTTTTGTTTTACTAAAATGTTCCAGGTAAATTTTAAACTGTCATGCTAAGTTGACATTTGTTATTTACATTGTAAATGACTTTTATTTTACAAAGCCTATACACAAGGTAGACGTCACACACCCTATGTTTTGACAGGGAAAACTCTAAACCTGTTCTTCTGGCTTCATTTTTAAGTAAACAATAAAAGTATACGTTTTTGGGAAATCGAGACGCATGTTCAAAGTATTACTTCTGTCTCAAGTGGAATACAAAGAATGTCGCATGTTGTTTACATAAAGTAGACTCTGTGCACCTTGGATAAGTTAGTGATTAGCGTATTATAAGTGAATTCTGCAGTGATAGATCTAACATTTATTTTCTCTTGTCTCTGGCTTTTTATTCATCTGTTTGGCAGGATAGTATGACAGAAATACAAAGCAAGTGAAGTAGGTTAACTACAAAAACTCTGTCTTCTTCTTATTATTTCTAAAATTATTCTTCATTATAAAAACATAATGTATTTAAATCAAATGGCAGTTTTGCTTCAAGATGCTTAATTACGTAAAAAATAGAATTTATTAGTAAAATACCTAATATCATTAGGCGATATTAAGGTAAAATACTTCCATATTGTGAATATAATTCATACATACACACATGAAGTATTTCAAAAACATCATAAGATATATTTAGTCCTAAATATTTTAGAAAATAAAACTCAATTTATCCACACTAATATCTCCTTTAACAGTATGTTTTATCCATTATCCACATTTACAGAAAGCATTCTAGTACAAGAACGATTAGAAGTGAAGGGATATCCACTTACACATGTACAACACCTTAGATTTAAGGTAAGTTAACTGACATGATGACTACTACTATATTGAACATCTCCTAATCGATAGAGTTTAGTAAACAATAAAGACTACCTAACATGAAATAAACAAATAATCAAAACACTCAACAGGTAATACAGGAATGTTAATCTTTGCCCACACAGCTTTCTCACGTCAATACTGATTAACTCGGATTTTATTCTCTCAGCAGCATCAGTTTCCGTTATGTTTAAGATTTACACATATATAAAGAAATAGAACATATGTTGCAATATATATTTAGTATTTCTGACTACCTGTTGGTTTTTATGAAAGCATTAGACAATGTTTTTTAAGGCAGTGAGGGATTAAAGGTTTCGAATGTGTATTCACATGCGCTCTTCAGCTGCATAACACCGTAGCTTGTTTACTTAAGGCTAGCAGCGAAATATGCGATACAAGTACCATCCCACTTGAAATTCTTCAGCTAAATCTGCCACCAAACTATTGCGTAATGAAGCCTACAGTAAGATCAGTCAACTAGCTATCAATTTAAAGGTGCAGCCAATATTCACAAGGTTACGAAAATATATTCCACTAGGATGTCATTAGTAACCACCGGTAAATATTTAACACAGGCATGGGAAAGTCTCCTCGAGGTAATCGTATACACCATTTTACAGTCATCTAATTATAACTTTACTCGAAATAACTATTTCATCAACATAAAACTATTTGAATATCGACTATGATATAAAGTTTTGAAATTTTGTTATTCTCTTTTCTACGCTGCTTTTTTTCCTGGTAATTTCATATCACTCATAAATTTGCAGTATAATGAAGACAAAAAAAGTAGAAAATGAATTTACAGAAAGAAGCAAGATAGGAAACTGGCTGTCTCTTCATTTATTTCTTCTGCTTATCTTTATCGACAGATTTTGTTGTTTTCTTATATCTTTCTTCAGCATTTCTGCCTGCCTCAAATACACCATTTCATTTCATCAATACATATAACAATGTGTTAGTGAATAGGTATCATCTCAATGGGAACAAAAACTGTTTTTTTATTCTTAAAACCTCTTGCCCTGTTGAATACGAAACGGAAACTAACAATAGGATATCGAATTACTTTTTTTGTGGTATTTTTATTATTGTCATAATTCTTTTTACTACTGTTGGCGTTTGTGATGGCAATATATCTTTCTTTTCTTACTTACCTAATTAGAATTGAAGGATGAATTACTTGAATATAGGTTCAACTTGTTTTTACTCATATAACGAACTATTAACAAGTAAGCCAGTCATGATGAAGACAAGGTAGGGTTTAATCTGTGAAAATAGTCTGCCTTTGATATCAGTAAATTGGATATTTTTTTCCTTCACGTTTCCCAGTGGAACATAGGGCTTCAAGCTAGAAGGTTGAAATTTCTGTAGCAGTGTTTTATTTTACGGGATGGGGTTGCTAGCCTCATGCACAACCTTTCCTCTTCACCAGCATTATTTCTGGCTTAGCGAGGTGAAGGAGTGAGTCGACCGGGGATCGAACCCCGGACCATGTGCAGGGTCGGTGAGCGTCCTAACCACTATGCCACCGACGCTGCTTCTTTACTGCCTTGGAAACTGAAGATGTTTCATATTCAGAACAACGTAAAAGCTTTATACACAAATAAATCCATTTTACAAATTTATATAATTATCTATAATATGGGTATTAAAGCTTCATACAGTGAATTATGTCTTCAGTATATTCTTGGTTCCAATGACTTTTAGGCAGCCGATTTCCTCGTATTTTTTAAACAGTACGGTGACTGATTACTCTAAATGCATTACAGGCGTGAAACGCCCTTCACTTGCTAATATTTAGGTATCACAGCTTGTAAGTATACTTGTGAACACTTCTTTTTACATTCATTTACATTGAATTTACTGTAACTCACGAAGGAATCTTCAAGGTTGAACAGATTTTCTAATTCCTAATTAAGGCATGTTACGTACATACATTTTCATTTCTTATAGCTTAAAATAAGCCTAGATGTAATTCAACTGCAGCTGAGTTTGCGATCATATTCTTTTATAAAAACGAATCATAAATGGAATATCAAAAGCTAAAATCTATCTCACTTATTACTTTTTGTAGTTAATTTGGACTCACATAAAAAGTAAGTCTCCATCATTGTTACATACCTTAAGTATGAAATGAACTATCAGACAAATATGCCATTTGTATTAAAGTAGTGGAACACAGTACTGAACAGAAGTGTTTTCAGTGTCTAATAAACCTTTGAATGCCTAGTTTTAAAGAATATTTGCAGCTGCAGTTGACTACTTTTTTTTACTTTATTAATCATCCATTAGAATTACAGGTATCTGTTTGAAGAAATGAAATTCACACGAACAATGGATCTCAGTTATTTAGACAATGATAGATAAGCAGTGAAGTGGTGCAGCATGTTGACTACTTCACTTATTTGGGAATTTGCATCAGCTGACGAAATCTTAGTTCGGATACAAAATGCTCGTGTGGCATTTGCCTACCTGTATCATTTATGACGTGTATATGATATCCAACTATCAATCAAAAAACATGTGTGCTTCTCAGCAGTTCACTCCGTCCTTTTTTATGGCTAAAAGATACTGCCATTGAAGGTGGAAGATACGAAAAGGCTATCTATCTTTGATCATAGGTGCATGTGTTCTATCTCCCGTGTTAGGTGGTATAGTAGGCATCGGTAGAGTGCTAGGTAAGGAGATTAAATCAATCTACGTGTTTGCGAAGTTACAACAACTTAGATGGTTAGGACATATGTTACGCATGCATTCCTGGATATTGCCTTCCTAGATGGGCAGTGTTAGCTGACTGACATAGCATCAGGTTGGAAAAGAGTCCGCTGGTGATGGTCAGACAAAAACATGGCTTCATCAGTCAATGAAATCCACAACAGTTAGTTTAAGCAATTCACGTAGGGAGATGTAAACTTTCTGTTCGGGAGATAACTGGTAATATTGCTAGAAATCGTTCTCATTAGCGCAGATGCATTCACTCTTTGTGATTTATTATAACCAATAAAATTCTATTGTTCTTCCACATTACTATTCATTTTACCTTAGTCACACTTCTGTTTATTATCTCTCTTTTGAATCTCGCTTTTCCTGCTTTGTGTCCTACAGGGAGTGTGGTAACTCGAACTGCTGAAAATCTGTGCAAAATTTCTACTTTGAAAACAGTCATTCAAACAATGAGTATTTTATTTGACAGCACCAGATATTTTAACTCATAAGATATACATACCACTAACTATTTGTTTGATATGAAACCTAAAGTTCTTTTTTTGAATATTTTGATAATGGTTATCATTTTAATAGTCGTCAATGTACTCTTTCCACCAAGACAAACTATAAGTAGCCGACTCGCTAGTAATATATTAACTGTTCCATTTTATCAACGATGGCAAGAATTTATAGTAATTAGCTAAGCAATATTTTTCACTGTAAAAATCAAATAAACAGCTTCACCTCTTGAGAACTGTTTCTCTGACAAACACCTTTGACATTCCCATTTTCCTTGTGCTATACATAAAATATACACATTTAGAAACTTTACTGAACAAATATTTTCCAAATGGTGAACACTCTATTTTCATTCTGATTTTGCATTTTAGTTATCCAGCATCATGGAAGTCGCCTGTGAAATTGAAATGATCAAAGATCCTGAAACCCGCAGATCTAATATAACCTACGTTGCTAGGCATATAGAAGATGCATTAACTTCACAACGTGAATATCGGTCGGGATGTGGCGTTCGCTTAAAACATTGCCTAGCTAGGAATTGTTGCCTGTGGTTCGGGAAGCGCTATGGAAATTATCTAATTTGTTTATATCTTATTACGAAATCGTTTTACATATTCAATGTTGTCGGACAGTTTATTTTGATGAACAAAATTTTAGGCACAAATTATACCTTTTATGGTTTGGATTTACTGCGTGATATAAGTGAAGGTTATGTCTGGCAAGAATCTGGCAATTTTCCACGCATCACACTGTGTGATTTTGAGGTGCGTAAAGTTGCCAATAAGCATAGACATACAGTTCAATGTGTGCTACCCATCAACATGTTCAACGAAAAAATCTTCATATTCCTGTGGTTTTGGTTTATATTAGTGGCTGCTATCAATACTAGTAGTTTCCTCTATTGGTCGTACAAATCTAGTTTTCGAGGAACAAGAATACAATTCATCAGAAAATTTTTGAAATTACGTGGTGTACTGGAACCTGGTGATAAGAAAAAAACATTATCATTTGTTGATTCATATTTAAGGCAAGATGGTGTGTTCATTTTACGGCTAACAGCTCAAAATGCAGGTGAATTGGTTGCTTCCGAAATTGTTGAAAGGCTGTGGAACATGTATAGAGCGCATCAAAATGTTACTACAACTTCTACTTCTCAAGCAGTTTCTCACTCATTTATACAACAGACACAACCACCACAACATCAGAAAACACACCGTTCCTCACATCACCAACATCACCTACGTTCCAGAGCAGTTTCTAGTAACCTCCATCGTGCCAGTCGATCTCTCACACCAGTAAGCCCCTCAGAATCCTCAGAAACTAGACGAAAACAGCCTCCAGACTATCCCTCATATCACTTAAGACCTCCACCTGCGAGTCCAGATGGTATTAAACTTCCACCTCCCCTCCCACCACTGTTACGGCCATCTGCTCCACCACCTCTTCCTCCCCCTCCAGGGACTACAATTAGCGGCAGTTCAGATGGCAAAAGTAGCTCCATAACAAGTCGTAGTCAAGGATCTACAGTTTCAGAACACACTGACCAGTTTGTTAGAATGAGACCAGCGATATCTGGTAGCATAGGATTTGAGAAGTTGAAACCCACTGCAAGCCATCCTTCAGATTCCAAGATGAGTCCAGATATACGCAAGAAGTCGTTCATTATGGACGGCAGCTCTATTTTGAGTCATGCAACTTCAAGAACAAGCAACACTACTCAACAACAACAAGAAAATACTGAAATATCAAATATCAGAAATCGTACTGAGGAAGATCCAGGAGAGTTTGTTTAACTTTTTACAATTGCAGGTGGCTCAAGTGAAGACAGTTAACTTCAAAATTTAGGTATTTTTTGCTATCTGTGATCTATGCATAGAAGCGTTGAACACTATTCTTCTTAAAATCGACATCTTATAGTAGCCTAAAATATTCTGCATTTAAATTCGATTGGTGTTTTTTAAAAGGATTTACATAAACTGGGTACTTGTTTTTTCTACTTCATCTCCGTTTCTGTTCAAAGCGCCATTTTGAAACCTTCTCACTCTTATGTTTACATTTGTCTTTTAGTGTTTAGATTTTTTATCTAATACATGACGGGTAGTCACACATCTTCACGAACTGAACACAGAGAAATGAATGAGATAACATATATTGAAACGACATTCCAACTGTACAAATGCATCATTTTAGATACTAATGCCTTTCTAGATTTATGCTCTTTTTAAATGTTCTAACCTGTTATGCCTTGCTTGATGCAGTATTCTACAAGTTTTATATATGCCATATATACAAGTAAAACTTTAAACTCTGCATAGTAAATTTTTTATTACTTATTCCTGACTTTTAAGTACTATTTAAAGAGACGAACTATTTAGTTAGATTCACTTGCTATGGAGTTTTGTATTCTTCATTTCAAATTCAGTGAGATCCAGACGCTGGACAGTGCTTTAGCGCAGGATTTGAATATTCAGATTGAATTATCCACTGAGCTACAGTTTCCCTCGACTAGTGTTTCAACTTCAAACTAGACATCATCAGAGCATCAATGCTTCGCTAGAGAAAGAATAACAAAACCTGTACACAACTATGCACGAAAAGATTTTCCATGAGAAAAGTACAGCGTCAAAATTCTTATTTGACAGTCATTATGTACTACTATTTGTGTGATCCTTTCTATGAATCGACAGATTTATTTGTACATAAGTCAACCATACTATCTTTTTCAAGATAAAGAAGATGAAAATATGCAAAATTTGTAGTGTATATCTAAAAGATTCTCTTTTGTGTTTTAATTTGTAATGCTCAAAATCTAGAAATTAAATTTTAAAAATACAAGAAATCGAAAAAAAATGTTAACCAATTCATACTAATTGTCTACCTTTTTATATAAGCCACTCATTTTCGCTACACTTAACAGTAAAAGCTTTTCAATGCTTGTAGAAAATATTTTTCGGAAATATTGAAACAGTACTAAGTCCTTAAGTATTAAGTATTGAAAAATGTAAGGAAGTAACTTCATGTTGCATAATTTATTTAGATTCTAATCTTTTACAAGATATATATATATATAATGAATGGTACGCAATTTTATCTGATACTTATGGTTCCTATTGATTAGAATGTAATTTCAGGGTGAGGAGTGATCATTTTACTTCACAGTCCTTGGTTAGCCGGTATCCATCTAAATATAACACAATTTGCCATAAATTTAAATTACTTCATTTCAAAGGGGATGTAATATTTTTAAATATAGCAATGAAACCATAGATATGCATACAAGATAGTTAATGATGGAACAACTAAAGGTTTATTTACACATAATACTATGGAAATATCTAGAGGAAAATGTGAAGGTGAAACAAATCTGAGAAGTTAAATTGAAAGTTGGATCACAAAATGATATGTTGCAGAACCATTGGAAACCAGAGAAGTTCATTAAATCCTTTTTGAGTTGAAATAATAATTTCGGATTATGGTATATACATGTACATTTAAATTTATAATTAAATTACATCATTTTTAAACTCATACTGGCTGAAGAAATGCCGAAAAAAAAAAATATATTCGTCCTTGTTATGTGAGTTCAGTACTGCATGTTGGTGAGGAGATTATTGTTCTGATAAAGTTATTCCAAATTACCTTCATGTCATCTGTTTAGCGTTTAATACATCTTGTACGCAGGAACAGTAAATTCATCAAATGAAATTACTTGAGGCCTACTACAGTGTTCCGGTTTCGTAACCGATGGATATAGCTTGAGGAAGTAAGTTTCAGTCGATTTCGAAAACAGATATTTGTTCGACTTTCCACAACACATAGCCTTACGCACTTTGACTGAAACTTATTTCATATTGAACTACTCATCAAAATAAAACAAGGAAAACGTTTATGTGTTCTTCTGTTTCTAAGACAGAGATCATTAGGTCAATGGTAAAATTTCTGTAAAGTTAGTAGCAGTGAACTGTGAATAATAACACTTTTAAGATATTTTATAAAATGGTGGATGTATTAACATCTAGTTTTGCCACAGTTTATATTGCGTTGATTATTTTCAGACCACTAGATTCACTAGAACACTTAGTCAATAAGCGAAAAATGCAGAGAATGCTGAAGTTATTTATTATTAGTTGTTAATCATAGACTTTAAGAACACAATATTCAGCGAAGAGACTCTTTTCAACGAATTTATTATCAAGCTGTACAATCGTATATATATGGTTTTATAAAGAAATTATATCCGGTGAGGGAATTAAGTCAAAGGTGTGAATACATGAAATAATAATAGCATGAAATGCAATTAAAATATTTGTGATTATAATCACATTTCAATGTCAAGTGGCAAAATAATTAATGTCATATATAGAATAATACATAAGGAGTATAGATTTTGGAAAAGGGTACATAATTATAAGATTAGTGGAAGAATATAAAATGTTACATAACATGGTGTGAAATTTGATAAGATAGAATTCAATATTGTAAAAATAAAAATATAAAAATTAATAATTTTGGGTTTAAAATGTCAAATGGGTCAAGTGGAAAAGATTCAGAGTCAGAATAGTAATAATAATAAAGATAATAATATTGAAAAAATCGTAGTAATCAGGGAAGAGTACATAGAATAACTAAATTAACAAAATAAATGAATGTCTATCCCTCTACGGTCAAGGCAGAAGTAGGGATTGTACATACTTCTTTTGTACACAAAAGTCTGGCTTAAAGTCATGAATTGCCAAGGCCTCAGCTGTCTTTATAAGTCTGTAACGAAGAAAACGCGGGAAGTTAGCATGGATTCTATATATGATCTTAAAATCATGGTCAGGGTTGACAGAGTGACAAAGTCGATCAGGTGTTCCAAAATAGAGCTTCGCACACACTTCCTTTCTCCCTTGTAAAACCATATATATACGATTGTACAGCTTGATAATAAATTCGTTGAAAAGAGTCTCTTCGCTGAATATTGTTTTCCTAATGTTACAATGGGAATTATTAAATTAATTATAGACTTTGTTTATACATGTGAAAAATTAACTGTCTCTGTGGAGTTTAAGGATTTGTGAGACAAGTACACATGCTTAAGAGATGGCAGTGATATCATCCAAATGTAAATACATCAAGTCCATTCCCAATAATTCTTATCTACTGATATATAACTGCATTATCTGCTAATCAATGCAATCATTACCGTCGAACTAATTATATTTACCGTGATATTGTTCAACGCATACTGATAAAACAAAAATATGCATCAGTCAGTCGAACAAGGGTGATTTTTCAGCTCTCAATGTATGCACAACAAAAATTCCTTCGGTGTTGTAATCTAGCAATTCATTGTTACTCCGACTGTTTAAAACTCAACAGTGTATGTAACTAGATTAATCAGATTTTATTCAAATGTTTCCCCTACAGAACTGTTCTTCAGAAAAAGCATAAACACACATTCTACAAGCAGCAGCCTAAGGATATCGACTAAAGGCAAAAACGGACAAATAACTTATCTGATTGCTTAATTATCATTTTTCATCTGTCAAATTTCTAAGCTGGATACATATTGCAGAGAAAGAATAACTCAAATTCAGATTACTTAGGCTAACAGATTTAAATCGATAATAGGAAAAGCTGTAACAGAAAGTGGTGTTTTAAGATAAATCAGATGGCATATGAACAATTTATCTAATCTGTCTTAACACCTAAATCCCACATAATATTGATTGAGAAAATTAAACCCAAAGAAATTCGAGACTGAAGTGAGGAAAAATGAGTATAAGCAAACAGGATTTATTGAATGGAAAATGTTATATTCTACTGCCGCAAAAATCTCCCACTGCTGATGAAAAAAAGATTATTTTACAAAAACGTCGAATAAGCAAGTTTACATTACATCTTGACAACACAGAATAAAATCTCTACATCTTTTTGGCCAAAAAGAAAACATATTCAATAGTTTTAAGAATGACAAACAGTGGCCGAAGAGTTGAAATTCATTGATTTTATTATATTTGTAGGGAAAACGTAAAATAACGGTTCATTAGGCTACGTCATTCAATGGAGAAATTCACTGTAGTAATTCCGACTATCGACCATACATTAATCTGAATACTAACAACAATAAGCATATCACACGCCTCTGGTTACCGTTGTCTATAAATAATTACTATAATTTGTATAAACATTTCTTATTGTTTAGCTTCATCACATCATTCATAATGCATGAACAGATGACGACGTAAAAGTACGATAAGCAACTACCTCTGAGATTACAGATAATTTGATATTTATATTTGTGAAGATACCATTTATGTCTCTATCTTCAGAGATTTCCGCCAAGTATTTTACGTGTATTCGTAACAACTTGGTTCATACGTATGCATGTCAGTAGGGAAATTAACAGTGATTACGATTAAAAAATTATTTTCCTAACCTTATTACAAGTCTTATAGTGGTCCCGAAACAGAGCAATGCGCATGTTATTATTTTTTTATAGATAACAATTGTAATTGCCTGTTATCAGTCGAGCCAACTTCAAGGTCACCGTCGAAAAAATGACCAATGAGAAAAGTGTATCATTCTTCACTTTGTTAAGTAATCTGTCTGTGCCTGTAAAGGTACAATTAGTGCATTTACTGTATACATCATAACAGGTTCAATATTATTTACTTAGTTTAAGATTACGACGTCTAGAGCATAAACTGTTCATTCAAAAAATTGGAAAAAACACTTCACAACTTTCCTGCAATATCAAATGCTTTCCAAAACAATTCACTTCCGAAAATCATATGAGAGTATGAAGAAAATGGGAGAATAGTTTGCGTGCTTTAAAATGCATTGCAGTTGATTTCTCATGCAACCAGGGTAGATTACATAATATCTGTCTAAAGCATTTTAAACTGAAGAAATTCATAAACATTATAGACTGAATATGTAGTGAAACACTTTTTCCTCCAGTTTGAAAACTGTAAATTGGGTACGTGTGATTGGTTGCCTGGTACATATCGATTCAGAGGGATAATATTTTGCAATATAACCTATAATTAACCGAACTAAAAGGTGAGAGGTCAAAAATGATTATAGAATTTTCTTTGCTAATCCATTCACAGAGATCGATGAGAATAAATACTGATGATATCTTTATAATATTCAGCATGACATATTTTATATATTCATGTTACACACAAAACCCCTATTGGAACAAACAGTTGAACCTTATCTAGTAAGAACAAATGGATCATGCTAATCGAATACACAGCGGATAGACAAATTAGATTTCAGATTTACTAACTCACTAATAATTGAGATAAACACAGGTCGAGAAGTAGAATGTTTTAGTCTACGTATGAAAAAGCAGGCCGGCTTAAAAGTTGAAATTTAAAACCATTTAGTTACTTTGAAAAATAAATGGTGAATATTGAAGACTGGACACGAATCAGCAGAAGTAAATAAATACACCTACTACCGTTTTCATTCCGATATTTTAATCTTTAATATAGTGAGAAAATTGTCACGCTATAATCAAAGTTCTCATATTCACAGCCCATCAAAGACAACAGTTTGATATTTGATTTAATTATGCCTTACTTGACTTAATCATTCTCTTATCAATTTGTATCGAGGAGGACAACAGATAGTATACCAATTCATTAATGGCTGTATTTTGCTTATATTAATAAGCATTAGTTATCGAATGTTCATATTCGCAAAAGATTAGATAAAGCTGAAACCGTCCAAAGATACCCCCAGGTATAAAAATTAGTTTCGAGAGATTAGAACAGCAGTGAAATCACTGAGTCAATTTAATTCCAACCT